TTACTTACTAACGCCTATTACTTCTCATGGAGGGAGCATAGGCCACTCAACAGTACTCTCCATCAAAGTCTATCTTGAACAATCCTTTCCAGGTCTTCCCAGTTGTTATTCATCCTTTTCATATCGGTTTTCATTTCCCGATGTTGTATGTTCTTCGGCTTTTCTATTTTCCTTGCCTCGTGATGCAATTTGATGAATTTCTCTTCCACAGAGTTCTAATGTTGTGTCGATTAGACTAGTAGATACATGTTGCAACTTGATCGATAGAATTCTATCAGCACATTAACAACTAAACGAACATGACATTGATTACTGAATATATATACATATCATATTTATCACGAAGAAAAATCCGACCTAAGACTTGCTTGTGGCACTGATAGACAGTGGGAACAATCCTGTTAACCTACTTAGGAGGTTATAGAGATCGAACCCATCACCCAATCTATTTTATCTAATTCATAGTAGGCTTCAGCAGATGTTTCTGGCTGGAACACCACCACCCTCACTACCACATATTCATCCATACTATAATTATTATATAGAAGAAGGAATTGATTACTCAACCATTTTGTTTGTTTTCATCATTCACTTTTAGTTTTTTTCTAAAAAAAAATTATTTTCCAAATGGTTTCTTCCTTTGTAAAAACCAAATTATCTTTTTAATGAATAGAAGTTTTCTATAAAGAAGTTAGTTTCATCTTTTATGAAATATATTTAATCAATTAACTAGTGTTTATTATGTCTTAAGCGCCAGCATGCGAGGTCAAAGACCCTGGGTTTGAATCCTCCAAGTGAGGTTGTCAATGGGCACTGATGAGGAGTCCTATACTAGGACGAAACGGTTATTCAGTGCTTCTAGGTTGTCTGTGGTGATCTAGCTTTAATTGACTCATGAATTCGACTATTAAATCTTATAACATTTACTTAATTAGAACTCAATGAGTGATTCTATGAGTTGATATAATCTATGTGATCATTTTAATTATGAACGTATTAATGATGAGTTTTAATTAAGATCATGAACTGGTCAATGTTAGACTGTCATTGAAAACCTGAAAGCACTGGACGGTTGTTTCTTCCTAGTATGAGTCTCCTCGACAGTCCACATCCACAATCCCACTCATGAGATCGCTCGAACTCAGGACTTTCGGTCTATCTTGCACACAAACGTCTAACCTCTAAACTACTGGTACGGGATTCAATGGTGTTAATGTAAAACTTCAATCAATTCACGACATTTCTCTACCATTTTCAGCGGATAACTGCCTAACACGCGAAACGGCTGTAAAATTATTAAACAATGAGGGTTATGTTAAATTTAAAACTTTTCTATTATTTTTTTCTTAAAGACTGTACTGAATTATATCAAAAGTTTACAAAAAATATTTATCAATGTTATTGCCTACTTAATTACACCTGTTACCCTCATCGAGGAGCATAGAACAACAAATAGCACTCTCCATCCAATCCTTTCCACTTGTTTCCAGCTGTTGTTCATTGTTTTCATTTCTGCTTTCAATTCCCGATGTAGTGTGTCCTTTGGCCTTGCTCTTTTCACGCTCCCTTCAGGATTCCAAGTTAGTGATTCCCTCGTAATGCAGTTTGATTATTTCCACAACATTTGCCCTATCCATTTACAGGTACTTTCCTAATTTTTTCTTCAGTTGAAAGTTCATCTGCTCTCTATTACAGTATGTTGTTGCTGATAGTATCCAGCCAACAGATAATTCGTATCTTACGTGGACAATTGCTTATAAAACTTGTACCATTTTGATGATGATTGTAGTAATTCTCCACTTTTCAGCTCCTTACAGTCGAACTATCTTGCAGTTCGTATCGAAGAATCGAACATAGCCTATAGGATATCTCGAAATATAGGTTGAGATTATATTTTAATTGGATTTTTTTGAAACTTTACATGCTCTCATCAATGATGTATCTTTTAAGCTAAATGAACAATTGCTTTCCATAGGCGAAAAAACTGATTAAGATAACTTTAATCTACATTTATTACAAACAAAATGTTTTGTAAAGGACTACTTACTAACTTACGCCTGTTACTCCGTGTGGAGTAGTATAGGCCGCTTACCAACATTCTCTATCCAACCCTGTCCTGGGAAATCCTTTCCAGCTCTTTCCAGTTGTTATTCATCTTTTTCATATCTGATTCTATTTATAACTTGTGGCCTTGTGTACTATATAATGTATAACGTAATGATACCGCCAATTAGAGAGTAGTGATTTATCGAACGGACCAATGACGCATAAGACCCGTACGAGAAGTCTAGAGTCTTTATTGGTCCTTCTTCCTGCCCGACCCTGCCTGTTGGAGTCCAGAACACTAATCTCAACCTCTGCGATATGAATCATGTATTTCAAACATACTGGGTTTATATACAAACCAAACAGACCACATCGTACCATAAAACAGAAAATAACATTTATACAACATCAACCCAAAAAGTGGCTGTGAATGTGGGAGATTGTAATTAATAGACTGGGCATAACTCAAGAACATCAAATGGTATAATAATACTATATGGGTCAACAACCTACTGTGAGAGAACAAGCCAATTGCAGTGGAGGAAGAAATTGGGAAGAAGAGTTGGAATTGGATAGGATTCACATTGAGAAAAGTACCCATTTGAGTCACAAGGCAAGTCCTCACTTGGAATCCTCAAGGATAAATAAAGAAGAAGTGGGAGACCAAAGAACACATTATACCAAAAAATGGAGACAGACACGAGAAGAATGAAGAACAATTGGATATGAGTAGAAAGGAATGAAGAGGACAAAGTGGTTCGGAGAACACTGTTCGGCGGGCTATGCCCCACTGGGAGTTACAGGTGTAAGTAAGTGATTAAGGGCCAAAATAAAGCTTATAATAAGAGGAACATGAATGTGCATATAGTTTAGCTACTTAGCAACTGTATAATAAGAAGTGTATGTATAGTAGCAGTCCATAAATACATTTCAATAGTTACCATCCACTATTCTCATCGGTATCTATCAGAGTCAAATTAAACTGTTCCCTAAACATTTTTTTCTAAAAAAAATCAATAAAAAAATTTTGAAAATTCATTCTCATTCCGTAAAATCTGCTTTAATGAATATACATTCTGTTTTTTTTTTAATTAATAAACGATACACTTAATTAGCTTTAAAAGTGTTTTATTATTAAGTTATATCTAATCGCAAGAATACTTATCAATGTTTAGTTGAATTGTAAACAACTAAATTACAGAATGTGGGTGGGTATGGAGATTGTAGTGTCGGCTCAGTGATCTAGAGGTTAACCGTTTGCGCGTGAAACTAATAGGTTCTGGGTTCAGATCTCGTGGGGCAGGGTTCTGGGTGCGCACTGTTGAGGAGTCCCATACTTGGATGAAACAGTCGTTCAGTGCTTCTAGGTTTTCCTTGGTAGTCTAGCTTTAATTGACTCATGAGTTCAACTATAAAACTTTCTAATAGTTGAATTCAAGCTGGATTATCATTGAAAACTTGGAAGTATTGGACGGTTGTTTCGTTTTAGTATGGGATTTCTCAGTAATGCTCACTCATGATCCTGCATGAAGGAATTGAACATAGGATTTTCGGTCTTGCGTGCACACTTCTGAGGGATCCCATAGTAAGACGAAACGGCCGTTCAATGCTTCCATGTTTCCAATGTTGGTCTAATTTAGATTGACTCATGAAAATACTAAATAATTCAGAAATGTTTGAAATAATATCAGTAAATGGATGAGCGAAGTATATTTCAATGTTGGATTCAAAGATGATATTTAACATAAACCACATAAGGATCGTTCGCATAGTCTATTGAAAAAATAATGTATCCAGCCTCATTGTGTACTATAGGTTAACGTGAACTCATCTATTCAAAAAGCACTAGATTTTGATTAACGGGCTGAACGTTCTTATTTTTGTTCACTTACATTTAAGAATCTAGGTTCATTAATCATTCATCGAAGAACATTTCTAATTATATTACAAAGAGAAATTGGTGAGGAGTTATGGAATCGTCTAGTTCGCAACTACATTTGACTTGAATCTCGAAACGTCGGATTCTGAAGCGGAAAAGAAAAGAGAAAGACCAAAGAACACACTATGCTGAGGATTAGAAGTAAGTATCAAAAGAATGAATAGCAACTGGAATGAACTGTGATGTATTGTTCATGTTAGATTTGGATGAAAAATACTAATGAAGCCGCCTACGATCCTCCATGATGAATAACAGCAGTAAGTAAGTAATCTGTATATTGTTTCAACCATATGTAATGATTATTATTTCAATTATTTTTTTTACTGTTTTCATCAAGTAAATATAGAATTTCAGATGGGTTTTGTGGATATTATAGTAATTTCAATGGTTAAAATCATGAATCAGTTGAAGCTGAGGAGTCCCATAATAGGACGAAACGGCTGTCCAGTGCTTCCAGGTTTTCAATGGTGGTCTAGCTTCAACTGACTCATGATCTTAACCATTGAAAATATATCATTTTCATTTAAAAAAATATAAATTATCAAATTCTGATTGGTTAAAATCTTTTTCACCTACAAAAAAAATTTTATTTTTTTTTTCTAATTTTCAACCAATCAAATTAATTTTATCGACAATTATTTTTTTTTTCTTGGTTATTGTTGCTGGGTAATTTGAACAGACAAAAATAATGATTCCATCCTCATCCCCCAAAGAAATAAATAAATAATTGTGCGATCTAATCATTATTTCAACCAGAAATAAACCAATAATAGTACAGTTGAAAAGTTAGAAGAAAAAAAACTTTTATTCCACTCTATAAATACAAAACTTTTCATGCAAATTATTCTCTTTTATCAATTATCATTGAAACATATTGAATAGTGAATAAATAAGTGAAAGAATCAAGTTAAACAAACAGAACAAACAAAAGAAGAAGTAAATTTTTTTGAAAGAGAACAAAAAGAAAAACAAAACAGTAAACAACAACGATAAAATGAACACATATATGGTGCTAATGTTTATCTTAACGGTTATTAGTAAGTTATGTATATATGAATTGAATTATTTAATAAATTATGATTTGTATTGAGAGAGATGTTTATTGGATGCCGGCTCAGTGGTCCAGTAGGTTAAGCGTTCAAGCTCGAGACCGAAGGCCCTGAGTTCGAATTCCGCGAGCGGGATCGTGGATGCGCACTGCTGAGTCCCAAAATAGGAAGAAATGGCCGTCCAGTGCTTCCAGGTTTTCAGTTGTGGTGGTCTAACATCAATCGGTTCATGGTCTCAATCCAAAAAAATTTATTTTATTTGAACATATAAATATTGATACAAAGGGGAATTAAATAAATATACCCTATATAAGTCATTTGATGTGTGTGGGCTGTGATAATGTTCCGGTGCTCAAACCGAAGCAGGTATTTTCTTAGGGAGCCATATTCGAAGCGTTCGACTTAAAGTCTGATTCGTAAGGTAGTGGAGCAACGTCAAGAGATACAGGTCTCATTGGTAAACGGTGACTAATAATAGGTTCATATGACTTTTGTTCTGCTCAGGATCGCGGAGCCTATATGAAACATTGGTATGAAATCAGAGTTTTTCAACTTTCCTAGGTGGATTTTTCGTATACAGCAACCAGGTTAAAGCATCGGACATTCGCTTTTTCTCCTCTTAATTTCGTGAATAAAAGCCCCGCCGAGAGAAGGCAGTAAGTAGGATTTCTTTGTCAATTGCTATATGCATGTGGCCATGTGAGAATATTTCGAGAGGGCAAGATGACTCTCACCACTCTCAGCCGTACCAGGGCATTTGGGGTGTTTTATCTGAGATTAGGTTGTTCAAAGAGATTTGAGGTAATAAGTTTGTATATTGATCTTATTAGTGTAGCTTCATTGCATACGTAATCGTTGTTTATGTATCGTATTATCATACATTATGCATTTAGTTTCGAATGGCTATTTGATTATAAACGAGGATAAACAGACAATATTTTGTTAAAGCAATGTAGACTAAGCCGAAGTGGAGAAGTGTTTCGCTTTATTTTAGTACCCATCAGCATTGAGCAATTAATTTTGGATTGAAAATCGAACAGTAGACTTTCATGAACTCATAATGAAGATATTTTCTAACTTTTATGTTTAAATCGCTATGAATTGTTTAGTTTATAGGGAATGTGATTGACAGTGGAATCCGGAATACGTGTTTTATCACATCTGTAACTTATCACTTGTATATCCATGGAACTAAGTCATGATGTTGAATCTGAGACTTCAGTCTGGTATCTGTTTCTTTTGTTTTTGAATCCTAATTTTATGACATAAAGTCTACATCAACTCAATCTGCTCAAAATTCAAATATCCTAATACTGACTGAATAAAATTTCACTCTGAATATAAACAATGGGATATTACAAACTATTACCAATATAATGCATCTTGACTGAGACCATGAATCGATCAATGTTAGATCATCACTAAAAAATGAAAGCACTGAACGGCCGTTTCCTCTTCGTATGGGACACGTGAGCAGTGCGCATCTATGATTACACACGAGAGACTGAAACCTAGAACCTATCGGTCTGGCGTGAGATATTGAATGCTCACTGATGAGGGGTCTCATATTAGGACAAGACGGCTATCCAGTACTTCCAGGTTTCCAGTTATTTCCAGTTATTTAATGTATCATGCCAAAGTTTATATTCTACCCCTGTGATTTAGGTAAATTATTGTTGCTAACCATTTTAACGTACATAATACTCTGTAACACTATTGAAATGAAGGGAAGTTGTTTTTTTTTCTTATTCAAATATGTAGATTCACCGATTTATTAACAGTGTATATATTCATAAAAAAGACTTCAATAAGTGATTGTTTTCAAAAGAGGGTTTGTGGAATTTATAGTAAATTTTAATGGTTGAATTCATGAGTTGATTTAATCTGGACCACTATAGAAAACCTGGAAGTATTGAACGACCGTTTCGTCCTAGTATGAAACTTATCAATAGTGTGCATCCACGATCCACCTAGCAGAGCTTTAATCCAGGACCTTCAGTCTGTTTCACGGGCAAACACTTCATCTCTACATCATTGAGCCGGTATTCAACGTTGTTAATGTCTAACTTCAATCAATCCCCGATATTGCGTGACTGTCCATTATTGTCTTTAGTGATTAACTGCCTCACAACAGACACAGCTGATCTCTACTGGTCATAGCTTTTCACTACAATTTCAGGAAATACCTCTTGAAGCCAGTCATTAATGAGCAGATGATGATTATTATTAGTAGAGAGTTTCGTAGAGACTGTAGATATTTAATAGTTGAATTCATTAATTGATTCAAGCTAGACCATCATGGAAAACCTGGAAGCACTAGACGACCATTTCGTCTTAGTATGAGACTTCTCAGCGGTGTGCATCCACAATCCCCCATGCGAGATTCAAATTCGGTTTTTTTACGTGTAAATTCTTCTGATCTCAATAAACTCTTCTCTTCAATGACTTAACTAAAAGTGTTTCTTTTTCTTCTTACATTTCCCTCAACTAATGTATTTGTACATTTGAACTGATGTTTATCGACCTGAATGTTAAAAATTATATTATTATTATTATTATTACTATTATTATTGATGGCTCTATTCATTATCATATAGATTTTGATACAAAATAAAATTCTCAGCACAAAGTTTCCATTTCTTACTTCTTGGTCAATCCTTACGATGGTGTATTCAATGATCACCAGTTAGAAGTTAGCAGCCCACTCAAGCGACATCTAAATAATGTACACTTTTTTTCGCTGCATATTGTCAGAGTAGTGAAGAGAATACAAGTGGGGACAATTGAATGTATTTAATACAAAATTACAGGACTTTTTAATAACATCTAACAATCAAATAGTAAATACGTAATTTGCAAAATGTCCATCGATTGTCTCATAATGACTCAGACTTCATTATTCTTACATTTTCATACAAATTGCATCCTATTTCTATTCTTTACTGTTTAATCCTCTTGTCGCTTTGCTGTCAGACCTTCTGTTCACGACTAACATCATATACTACTTATGTCAATATAAGTAGCACACACCACACAACAGTACCCATGATATCTTTGTTTGGGCTCTTTTGTAACTTGTACAATGAAAGGTTGTACAGTTTTCACAAATATACTTGAATAGGTTATAAAATTAATTGACATTATGATGTATTAAAACAAGCAAACAAACAAAGAAACAGATAACTTGTTGAAATATCTATATGGTAGGAACTGATAGCCCAGATATTCAAGCAGGTCGAATTCACAAGTTTATTTTCATTTAATTTGATAAAATACCAATTAGAGAGTGATTTAAAATTTCAGCGTTATCTATTTTATGGAATAATGTAAATTTCTATCGTCTTAAAGGGGAAAAAAATGTCTGAAACTGATCCTTACAGAGCCACCTCTTCTCTTTTCCATAATTATTTTGTAATGATTAAGAATAGTGTTTTTTTCCATTAGTTATATGATAACATCGTATTAAATTCCTGTACTGATTTTTGTGAAGTGCTACTGATATTGACAGATATAAGTAGTATGTATCATCATTCGAAAATGGAAAAAGTGGCATCGGAAAGTTGAGAAAATCGATGAGAAGAGAACGAGAACAGAGAGTGATTAGTTTGGTAACGAAGGAATAATTGATTGACATTTTGCAAACGAAGTAATTACTGTATGATTCTTAGATTTTGCTAGAATATTCTGTAATTTTGTATTCTAAGACATTCGATTGTCCCTATTTTTATTCTCATTCACTACAAATCCATATAAAATCACTTCAAATATTTCTTGGACGGATATTGTAAAGTTCCCCCTTGAAAATTCTTGTAAAAATGTCTACATTAATTACATTTACTTTAGTCAATAAACTATGTTCTGTTAGATAGAAGAATTCACTTTACACAATGTACAATAATTAGGAAACTCCTGCATAATAACCACTTGTAACTATTCAGTATACATATGTGTATTTCAATAATAATTAGATAGTGTCAAGTTTGATCCATACCCTTTATTGGATAGTTTGTAGTGGACTAATCAAGCAAACCCTTTTTTGTCATAATAAAAGATGATCAAAAGAGAAACTAACCAACAACTGCAATGTTTACGTAATAATTTTATAATATTACATATTGTGTAGGGTTTTTAAGCCATTTTTGGAAATCGGCTTGAGTGAAATAGAATTAAATCCTAAATAGAAAAATCCATGTGAGTGCGTGAACAATTAAGAAATATTTTTGGTTGAGATCATAAACCGATTGATGTTAGATCAACGTTGGACGGCCGTTTCGCCCTATTGTGGGGCTCCTCGGCAGTGCGCATCCACGATCCCGCCAGCGGGATTTGAACCCAGGTCCTTCAGTCTCGCGTGCGAACGCTTAACCTACTAGACCTCTGAGCCGACCGGCATCCAATGATGTTAGTGTCTAACATCAATCGGTTCATGATCTCAATCCAAAATTTAATAATCTCCACAACCCCTATACTGATAATTAAGAAATAATCGGCTCACAGATCCGATCAGAACTTCACTTCATAAATTACAAAATCATGTACAACGCTTATTGTTATTGTTTATCTCCATTACAGAATTTACTTGATCGTAAGCTTTACTGAATACAACCTATGCAGCTGAATTTGTACAAGTGTCCCCCACCCGCAAATAAATTTTGTATAATTTACTAAACTACTTAAATAAAAAAAGTACAAAGAAACAATTTCATTAATTTATCATGACACTAGCAACAGAGAATTAGGTTGACTAGTACAAAAGTTAAAACTGGAATAGAAAATTAAGTTTAAAATAACTAACTTTCAATAAAATATTCTTGAATGATAACTAGATTATAACAAGCATTAAAAACAATTGGCTTTTCATTTTATTAGTGTAATTTAATATGAACTTACATTTCGATTTCCAGTTAGTTACACAGGAAAACGTGTCTCTTTTTGATGGAGTTTTGTTCTCTGAGCTGGATGGTTTGGTCGTGGAGCTTTCATCGTTC